CAAGAGATCGTCGCTCATAGCCAATCAAAATCAAGAATCATCCGTGACAAAATTGGTGCGGCAGCTAGGTTCAATGTCGTACCATACTGATCTTCGTAACACCTCAAAAATCGCTTATTTCTTAAAAATTTGCATAATAAGCCACCTTTTGCTCTCTAAAAAAAAATTTATTGAGCAATTAACTATATGTTTTGCTAACGTTTAATTCTATCGTACGCACTAATCCAACTTAAAGAACTTTAAGGATTTTGCGCGCTATTTCAGTATCACGTGACAGGAAATTGATGGTGACGCAAGGGAAGATTGTGTCGTTATATTTCCCTTTTTATAACGTTAGGTGCGATCAATCAAAAGATCCAAGGACCTGTATAAAGATTATTCTAGAATGCATTTCTATTTGGTAAATCGCCAGATGAATTACCAAACCTTAAATTTTTTTATCGTTATCTTGTGAATGCAAACCTAGACTTAAAAAAAAATATCAATTCGGTTTTAAAAATCGTACTACGTAGATATTACGTACGTACGTACGTACGTACGCACGTACGCACGTAAACAAAAACTATATATCTGATATCAGATATCAAATATATCCTAAAATTTTATACGTATTCAAAACTTTAGTGTTAGTTGACATCAGTAATCACATTAGTTTTGTACGTATGGCATTTTTTATTTTTAGCAAATTGTTTGACGAATAAAGAATTGTTGAAGAGAACTACGTAAGTACTTACGTATATGATTAGAATATTGGGTATTACAATTGGCTTACCTATTGTAGTACGAAGTATCCAATAATACTATTGGTCAAACTAGTGATATGATAGATGGTTTTTTTAATAAGAAATTTAATACATTTCCCAAGTAATAAAAACTTTAATCTGCAACAATGGCCAAAAGCAAAAAACCGATTTTAGCCATCTCAAGCGTAGCCGATTCTTCCCTAGATGTATTTCAATATCAGAGAGGTGAGAATGTACTTTGCTACCATGGGCCCATTACGTACCCTGCACAGGTAATTCTCGCTGTTCCGAGCATAAAACTTCGATAAATGTTACATTTGCATAATAAAAAGAATCGCCAAACAAGCAAGCCTTGTAGTGGCTTTGAGTAAATAAAGTATTGAATATTTTACATAACTCGGTTTTTAAAAAGTGTCTTTTCAATACTTAGATCTAATTATATATGTATTTTCAATAGATTTTGGATTTAAGAATTATCTACGAAAACGAGGGAGGTGATGTAGGGCCACAATATCGAATACATTACAAAGGATGGAATAAAAAGTAAGCAAAATGGACAAAATGGTTTGTCATGTAAAATAGTATATGCAACGGGAAATTACATTAATAATGATGGATATTGATAGGTGGGATGAATGGGTTTCTGAATCAAGAATTCTTAAGATGACAGAAGAAAACATTGCGGCCACAACAAAAATAAAGCAAATTCAAGCAGCGCCTCCGAATAATTCATCATCATCAGTTTTTGTGCAAATTGAATCGATTGATGAGATGCTGTTGCCCAATACAACTACACAAAATGAACAAAATTCAAAAACATCTAATTTTAAAAATCGCATCTTAAAACGTACTGTTGATCAAGGGCAAGCAATAGCGAGCACATCAGGCAAAAATGCGGTTCGTTAAATTTTGAATAAGCATAATACAATTTAATTTAATTTTAATTAATTTAATTGATTAATCATAATCCATAATAATATGGTTATGTTTATACAGAAAAGGGCAAAAAAGTGCAAGATTTCTGTTGAAATTACAGATGAAGGAATGCTTCGACTTGTTGACGAATGGCAGTGGAACACTAAAAATCAACTCGTAAGTAACAAGCCAATTTATTTAATTGTATAATTCTATTATCAATGATTGTTAAAACATTTTTAAATCAACATATGTAAATCAACATATGTAGCTTGTTTATCCTATGCCACGACCCAAGACGGTTAATGATATTTTGGAAGATTTCTTTGATTTTAAAATGGAGAAGCTTAAAGAACAAAGTAAAACGTCTATAGGCAGAAATAGAGGACGTATAACTAAAACACAAGAAATAGCAGCGAGGGATGTAACAAATGGTATCAAACAATACTTTAATGAAGCACTTCCAATATATTTACTTTATCGATTTGAGCGTCAACAATATGTCGAAATGACAGAAAAATATCCAAAAAAAGAAATGTCATCTATTTATGGGGCTGAGCATTTGATGCGACTTGTCGGTGTGTTATATATCATTTTACTCGTATTTACACATATTTTATAGAACGAATTAATTTACAGACTAAATGATATATATATTTTTTTTTAACAAGTTAAAATCCCAGAACTAGTTCATGCAGTGCAAATGAAAGAGCAAAAAGCCGAGAGTTTAGAACAAATATTTAACGAACTAGCAAGGTAATTTTTAATAGAATACATAGAATGCATTCATATATTTTATTTTAATAATCAAAATATTTTTCTCAAGTTTTTTGGAAAATCAATGTAAAGAATATTTCGCGAAGCAATTTGAATTCGCACCAGCACCATATATTAGGGTCATTTGGGAGTACTGATGGCTTCTTTGGTACAAAAAAAAATGTTACTTAAAAGGGACAATGTAATTACTGATATAGACTAATTGGTTATTTGGTCAATTGTCGTCGGGTAGGTAAATAATTAATATTATTTGCAAAACAATTTAAATGTATTTCTTATGAATCTTTCTCATGAATCCCGTTACTAATTCTAATTGTATACGGATTACATAGAAAAGTTAAGATTCTAAGAAAAAAAAAAACCCAAAAAAAAAAAAAAGGCAAAACAAAAAAAAAAAAAAAAATAGCATACTGTTTTTAATTTTAATTCAAATATGAACATTTATAAGTTGCGTGTAGAAAGACCAATATTATTAACGGTCCAAAATTCTTTTCTCAAATGCATATGATACCTGCAATTACCTGCAATATTCTAAGAATGATTCTAAGAATGATAAGATATCTATTCATCTATTACAGTATTAATGAATATCAAACAATACAAGAGGGTTAAACGTTTGCAAAAACATTCGTGCTCTTTAATTTGTAAATTTTTGGAACGAATAATAATAAAATCAAAGCTTACCATTGTTCTATTGTTCACCGGATACGCAGGACCGACAATTTGCTGCGGTGATATTGACATAATAATTATCGCAAAGCCCTGCGGATAATCGTAACCTGTAATCCGGAATTTATCAATTCAGTAAATCTTTTCCTTTTTTGTCGAGCTTTCCAGTACACAATGTGTTGGATCACGTGAATCATGCACTAGAGGTTGGAACCGGTTTTAATAATTCGGGTTTATCACGTGAATTTTGTGATATTTTAGAATTTATTAAATTTTAATTGGATTAAATTCTAAAATATCACAAAATTCATGTGATAAACCCGAATTATTAAAACCGGTTCCAACCTCTATCATGCACAATATGCAGTGAGATAAATTTTTATGCAGGATGGCGTCCAATACTTCGATATTGGGAATATTATGAATATAGTTTCCATCAATGTATGTGTAAATTCCTTTTCGGAATTTTTATAACTTTGCCCACTTAACGCGACCAAGAAAGAATCACTAATAAAGATAACAAGTATCGCGTCTTGTAATTTCATATGATGCGTAAATATTTGTATGTTTATGTTGCAAATGACCGAAAAAATTAACCATATAATATTCCATGTAATATTCCATATAATATTCTAAAAGATATCTTAGCAACATCATCACATATCGATATTTAATATATACATTTGTGGGTTTAAAGATCTGACGATAATTGCATCTTTCGTTTTTACGGACGTACGTACGTACGTACTTAGGTGTCCCGTAACAGGTAAGCCAAAATTGACTTATCTCAATAGTAGATCTTTGATCATCGGATAACGCACACCTGGTCTTTTAAGCACACATAATATGAGAAACAGCCGTTTTTATTTTGCACAATAAGCTTACGTCTTGGAGGTTTATATCCGAGTGTAAAAAGGTTTTTTACATTGTTTTTTTTTGGTCACACAACAATGGCGAATCGTATTAGCAGGAACTCAATTTTGGACCATGTACTACGACGAATCATGGTGGCAGGGGATTACGTACCACTTCAAGTCATAAACAAATCATAACGGCAGGAGTACAATAGCAAAAATGGTCTGTGTAACTTCCAGACGATCAATTTTGAAAAATCATTGTTCAAGAAAGATACTTCCCTTAATATTCATACACGAAAATAACTCCACAAACATTCTGTAATACAAATAGAAAAAAATATCCTCGTGAAAAAATATGCTGTGATAAAGTTTTCATTCAAATTACACATGTGCATTGGCGATTATGTATAAAAATGACGTCGAATTTATTTTTTATACTAAATACGCGACAAAGCCCTGTCTGTGATCCTTAATATTCTTTACTGTAAATTTAATATTATGCATTTTTATAAATTACTATTGAAACTGTTCAATTTCTCTTTATGTCGCTTTTAATCTTTTTCGTTTTTGAGCTGCAAAATTCTAATTTTTTTAATCTTCCTTTTTTTTCTTTATATTATTATTATTAAAAAAAAAACTAATAAATAAAGTATCGAAATGCAACCGAAAACTTTAAAAAAAATACTTGTGCTTCTGCTAGTTTGGATATTTTTCCCAATACTGGTGCTTCTACTTGTTGGGGTATTTTTCCCGCTAGTTTGTATGTCCTCGACCATTTTTTTGTCTTTGTTAGATAAATAATGTAAAAAAAACTTTTATACCTAATCTACATGGCCTTATCTTATTCATATAGTCGTTGCGTATATTACTTGCTGGGTCTTCTATCTTTTATGTGGTATATAAAATATATATATAACTTTTTTGTTAAAAAATAAATCGATTTTTATTGATGTTGATTGACATTCCATTTTAGCCCAAACTGATGCGCCGCCGTCGCAGTGGAAAGTTCCATTAAGCCCTAACCGGGTTTTCAAAGTATTTTCATACTTGCTTAATTGCTTGTATGAAAATTTAACCGGTCCATTTATTCCATCAATTGTTCAATATGGTTGGCATAAATTATCCAGTCAAAGAAAGAAGATAACTGTCAAGTACTTACTTTTTTTTTTTACCCTCTAAAAAATCAAAATTTTATAATTTTATATCTTTTGATTTATATTCACATTTTTTTTCATAATCAATTCATCAGGAAAAATATTAAATATAGCTCAAGGAATCGCCTTGATATATACTTTCCTGATCGGACTTCCACAAGGAATAGTCAAGTTTTTTTTGATCACCCTGGATTATCCCAAAATGCAAATATGGCAAGTCCATCTCTTGTTGAATCTCCTGTAATTATTTTCATTAGTAGTTCTTGGATTTCCGGTAAGAATTCTAGTGAATTTACTATTTTGTCCCACTCTGGCACGTGATATCCATGTCGATAATTCGTTTACTTTATAGGAAATAAAACAACCTGCATGCCAGTAGCCCATAATCTACAAAGCCAGGGTTATATTGTGGTTGTCCCTGACATTACACTTTATCCAAAAGTATATGATCTATTAAGGTTTTCTGAAATTGTTTGATGTAAACAATATTATTAAATATACTCATTGTTTTTTTGATCTTATATTTATTAGGGAAAGATTACTGAAATGGTTTCCGACGTTCAACAATGCATTCAATGGACATATAGTCATATTAAGCACGTACTTTATTTTCTTTGGCGCAATGATCTGGAATATTATCAAATATTATCACTGGATGTAACTAATGTAACTAATGTTAACTTATTTTAGGCAATTCCGTGGTGATCCTTCACAGATCTATCTAATGGGTCACTCCGCAGGGGCACTCTTATCTGCTTTAACCGTGATTCACGATGCTTGCGCCATTTTGCACGCACTTCCCATTAACACAACAGATGTGAGAATTCCCGTTTGTGGCCATACTAATGGAAGGGCTGGGTTACCTAGAATTCAAGGGCTAATCTTGTAAATATTTATTTTTCAATTTTACCAAATTTGTATTAATCTGGATTAACTTGGTAATTTTAATAACGTTTAGATTCTCGGGTGTTTATGATACAACTTATCATTACGCATATTTACATCAACGAGGTACGCGTGCTTTCGGTTTGATCATAATCGTTGGTGCTGCGACCAATCGAAAAATCGAAAAATAATGCGTTTTTGAATGAAATTTGCCTCGTAGGTCTTGAACAAGTGCACGCTATGCCACGAGTAATGGGTAAGTTGACTCTTGCTTTTAGATTAAATCTTTTTTCTTTGTACAATTTTTTATACTTAATTCAACTTAAAATACATTTATAAACAGGAAATACACCTGAATCTTTACTTCAATGTTCACCTACTTATTTACTCAATTATGCTTTCAATAATTCACAACACCGTGCTCAGCTAAAA